TGGTAGGGTAAAAAGATTATGAGACATGTAGAGGCTCCTTAAGAGCAAAATGACGATTTGTAAGAACTATTTATTAGTCTAAACAAATAAAGAAATTTTGACTTTTGACTTTTTGACTTTTTTGACGTAGCGTGGACAGGCCACCTTCTAGGTGGACCGATGATCTGGTGAAGGTCGCGAGAAGAGCCTGGACGCGGGCAGCGCAGGACCGTCCACTGTGGAGAGGAGGCCTTTATCCAGCAGTGGACGTCATTTGGCTGAAACGAACGAACGAAAAATTCCCTCATGTTTGAATTCAGTATTCAAAATATTTAAAAACTTTCTCGTACCAAAAGTGGGCATAAAAACGCCACAAATCGACCGATAGGTCCGCGTTAGACGCGCGCGCACCCACCGTGAAGATGCGAGATGCCCTTCGGCCATTGTTGGCCCTCTGTCCTCCGCTCCCTCCTCGTTAGTATGTCTTTGGACATCGCTTCGGCGAATTTGAATCCCTCAGAGGCCAGGTCGGCCTCGAATATATTGAGATTACTTGCGAAAATTGTTGATACCGACTGTTTGTTCTACCAAATCATGCGCTGATGAAGAATCTAAATACCACATTTTGGAAGTAGTTCTAGTAGAGAACTGTGAACATTGTATTATTCCGGATAGCTTCTACTTAATTTATTTTTATCACTATAAGGTTTTATAGTGACTNAGACTCTATTCGACTCTAATCTGTCCAGCGAGTCCAACGACCGCAGTGGCTAATAACTACAACAAAATACATACTAAGGACTGTCAATATTTCAGTACAAGATCCCTATCAATTTAACACGTTTAGCTAGAATATAACTCTAGTAGTGCCTACATAGTCCAGTCAATAAAGCATTATAGATAGAAATCCGTGGAACACACTTTCTGACTTCGGGACTTTATTTAGACTAGTTAGGAGGTGAACATAGCAAAAGTCCCCGCCGGAACAGTTATAAACAGGAGTTGAAGGGATGAACTGCATTATCATCTCTACTTAAATTCAAGCAGATTTAATTTTACCTTATGGTAGAGTCTGTAGGCATGTACGAATATTTACACATTCTCACACCTAGCTACAGGAAGCAATGTATAATAATAATTAGTTAATTACTGACAATACCTACCCCACAATTATAACCAGCTAAACGCATTCAAATGATCTCTAATTACATTATACATCTGCGATCTAATCTACAACAATAAGTAAGTGCGAAGTGGTCTTATAGTCTTAGGCTGAGTTGCACCACCTAACTTTGACCGTAACTTTAACGATAACCGGTGTTTTTGTATGGAGTTTGACAGATTTTTGACGTTTGTCAAAGTTAAAGCTAGATGGTGCAACCCGGCCTTATATTTACTAGATGAGGTGCTTATCATCTCCAATCGCTCATATTTCTTGGTGTGGCAACTTCCGAGGCACCCCCCATTGAATGTAAAGAAGGGACGGTTGGCTGGGCGTACGTGTACATGATATTGAATTCGTATTGACCCCTTGACCCGTTTGAGGAGTGATGGTATCTTCACAGCAAACGATTTGGATCCGGCTTGTTGAAAAATTGAAAAAAATTGTTGTGATTTGAGGTTCTACTACAATAAAATGACCCGTCTTCTGCGATTTTCCTTTATTAGATACTATTCCTTTGTAAGATACTTTAGAATTTAGATTATTCTGGCACTTTTTACAATACACAGGAGTTGCAGCAGTGGGAAAAAGAGGCGGGAATAGACCAATTTTACTTTATATAAAAACAATCAAAATATTTTCAGCAATAAGACAAAGCGAAACTACATTATACAAAAAAATAATAATGGTGTATTTACATGCATCACATATTTTGAATGAAATGTAGAGTTAGTCTTACTTGGTCTTACATGAGATCTGATTAATTACTACCATATACCTCACTCGAATAATCAGGCCATAAGAACTCTGGTACCATATCGACCGATTGTCCGACTTTCGTATCACGCATCTTTGGTAAAACCACCTAATATATCGTGGCACAAACAATGGCAGCCTGGAAGGACACATGCTAATGCACGCCACTGTTGCCCAGTATTTCTAGACCTCTGAGAGGTGAAGAGGATGTTGAGAGGATCTTAATAGCGGGGGGTCTGGAGGCGAGGAAGTTTCACATCTCAGTGAGTACAATTCGACACTATAATATGCGATGACCGCACCGGAACGAGCTTCGGTTTGTGTGTGCACATTGTACTACGAGATGTTTTCGAAAATCACTGGATCTATGAGGATCCATACCTTAAAATAGGTACTTAAAATATCTGAAACTTGTTTAGGTTCAACATTTCATTTCAGCATGTAGGTAACAAGTTCACTTTAGCATAAAAGTTTGATATCTTTGTTATACATAATATAAGTTTTAGGTACATTATTATACTTAAGCTAACTATGAAGTGTAAAAAAAGATAACTTTGTAAAATAAAAGCTTTAGGCGCACTTACCATTGTTTTGAACTCGATAAATTTCATAAAACAATTTCTAACTGGAAGATTAGTATAATTAGATTTAGTGCAATTGATTGTAGATGCCCCGTACAATGGAAACTCGCATAACTAAAGGTCTCTCGTCAGAATTAGACATTTATTACAGCATTGTGCTGCATCCACAAGGCTCGACGGACAACGGACAGACGGACAAGGAAGTGGAACAAACGCCGGACGCGAAAATTAATTATGTCGATAATGAACAGTATGAACATCTTAATGGATATTGGAGGGGCATTATTCGCGCTCATCAGTGTCTTGTAATTAACGCAACGGGGTAACGAGCTGATGATCCAGCTGCAGTAGAGTGGAATGAATCTGATTAGGAGTCTTAAGGTAACCTAGGCTGGTCAAAGCCAGGAGCGGGATGTGGAAGCACTGGTTGGTCTCTAAAGTAGCAGTAGTGGGAGATTATACCAAGAAAAACAACATGTAATTTATATTATTATACCTACTGAACAAATCTTTTTGTATTCTATTAAAAAAAAATTCGCTATATACAGGATGTCCCAAAAAGTAGTGTCAAGCCCAAACCCAGAGGTAAAGCGTCACTAGGGCTGCTTTGCTTACATTCGTCGTATGGATGTAAATACTTCTGAATCAGCTAGGCCTAGTATTCATCCAATAATAATAAAACAAATCAAGTATGTACTTTATCTATTCGTGCCACAGTGACCAAAAAAGTGCCTAAGCACAAATTTAAACCAATAATAACACGAAAACTATAAAAAATCGCGGGGGTACATACATGGGTGTGATACGGGTAGCCCTAGTGATGGACTACCTCTGGGCTTTAGCTTGTCATTAATTTTTGGGACATCCTGTATAATTGGCCATTTTATATTTGTAGCGAAAAAAGAAAAATAATGACTGAATTAAAGCTCTACAATAAAAAACGACCATAAGGACTGATGAGTACCTACTAATGACAAAATAGTAGGAGTACCTACACGTAGGTATTATTATTCGATACGAATGTTACTCTGCCAGAAGTCCTTCCAGGATCATGATAGAACATTATCATCACTGAAGGATAATATGTTATGCCTACCTAGGTACCCAGTGGGGTACATACATACCTATGTACTTATGTATACCTAACCCGTGTAAAGCCTAGATGAGTTTGACGCAAAATAAAAATCCGTCAATAAAAATCCGTCAAAGTCATCCATTTCAAAACAAGTTTTAGAGCTTTCTATGAGCTTTAGGTATCCGTCATACACGCTCTCTAGATAGATAGCGTGACAACTTACGAAAAATCGCTGGCAGAAGCTAGATGCGACAAGTCGAAGACAGCTCAGCATACAGCATATTTATGAGTTCTGATTTATGTTCAGCGTTGACTAATGAAGATGAAGTTTAGCGATAAAGCTCAATGAAATGATACAGAGAAAATAAAATACCTTATACAAAAAAAAAAGAGAATTTTTTATTCAACTGAAACTGGGTTTACCTAACTAAGTAGGTGTCACGACTAATTACTGTCCTACTTATTTCAAGCTGTTAATCCGTCGAACAAATATGACTGCGTAGTCCCGGCTAATCCAGTCTGCCCCCATCAAAGGCATGTGAATACTACCAACTAGGCAAGTACCCTATTAAACTCTCTTTAACGAGGAACGTCTACTACGTTACGTTAAACGATGTTTCATTCAATTGTTACACTAATGATCCAAAAAGATGCAAATGCTGGTGGCGTGTTCCTGGTACAGCACAGAGGATGTGGTGGCCCTCGTATCTCAGGCGCCTGCATCTCTATGCGCTTGCGCACACTAGAAGATAAGCTACCTAGCGTTGATGGTGCTATAAAATCTTTAATGAAAATAGAGCTAACATTGTTGTAGCAAAAAATTTAATATCGTTTTTTCATCAAACTCATTTGAAATATTAGTAATTTTATTGATTGTTTATTGACGCCGTTATTAACGGAGTGATCGCATATTGCTTAAACAAATCAAAATTAGAGTAAGATATATTCCGTAATTAACTCTATTTTTTTAACGAACACCCAAATAATTCGTAGGTAAAATAATTTAAGATATTTTATCCACAAAGATAAAATTAAATAATATGTCTGTAATGACTCGAGAATTGTTCCCTTCGTACCGAGAGTTCCCTTCTTATCGGTGAAGAGAACAACCATACGTATTAACGATGTTTTAGTGGGAAATGCTTTGATAAAACCCTCTGGCCGTCCCCATCGGCCAGTGGGTTATGTGGGACTCTCCTCCCCAGAAAGGCGGGACCTACCCACTAAAACCCGACGGTGTCCTCCGAGGCCAATGAAACGGAGCCCTGAAATTGGACATTCGACCACGTCAAGGCGCACTAATCTACCCCCTGCATTCTCAAAAATCTCCTCGCTCGCTGTATATCACAGCCCTATTATTAATAACAATGACGTCCGGTCGTTTTCACGCGGCATGACTCCGCTGGGCGCTCATTTTTAGCGCCATATATAAGAGGGGGCTTTGTTTTTTACCAGCATAGTCATACCTTGACTTCTGACAGTGCAGTGTTCAGTGCACAGTGGCAAAATGTTTTGGACTTGTGTGCTTGTAGTGTGTGTGTGCGGGGTAGCAAGGACTCAGGTCATCCCTGGTAAGTCCAGGACCAACGATGGTGATTACAATACTGTGAATACGGATGGATCGTTCGATTTTGGGTAATTACGAGCTTTTTTTATCTATTAGCTTATAGAAGTGATAAAGGTTTTAATCTATAGGTAGTTTAGTTTTTTTTTTCTTTCGGAAGTGGTGAAATTGTTAGGAATTATTTCAAGTGATAAAGATTAATCTAGTTGGTGAAATGTTTTGGGAATTATTTTGAGTTTGTTAATTAAGTTGTTGATCTATATTTTGTGTAATAGAGATCATTATAAATTAGTAAGTAAAATTATTAAAAATAAGATTTGAAAATAAATCGTAATAGGGCGTAATAGGCGTGTAACCTAGTGTTATTGATGTAATTTTAAATCACATCTATTTCTTTAATATGTTCATATTTACCTAATGTTAGTAAATTAATTCAAGTAATTCTATTTTAATTGGATTGTTTTAACCGTTAAAATTTCAGTAAGAAGCAGTTTATTAATATTTTTCACTTATATAGATTCATAATGCATAATTTTCACAGATTTTCCATTACAATTTAATAAAAATCGCGGTTGTGTCACTTTTAATTATTTTTTTAGTAGGTATTATTTTAGCGTTACATAGTTTTAACTCCATTGCTTTGTAACTCATAACAATTGGTGATCTACTAGGTACACAAACAAAGACCGAGGTCAGAGCTACCACCTGTCCCACGGCAACGCGAACGGCGTGGTGGGAGGCAGGTTCGGAGCCCGAGACCCTGCTACTGACACCGTCAAGGAGACCGTCTACACTGCTGGGCCTAGGGGGTGAGTTCATCGTCGTTATTATTGCAGCCTGTAGCATCCCACTGCTGGACGTAAGCAAACAAAGTTGCGTTCTTTGTTCGCGATCCCCTGTTTTCAACCAGCGCAATCAGATTCTTCTTCAGGTTGTCGATTGAAGCGCCTATACCACGTTTGTCAGTTTCTATTCCAAAACCTAAGACTGCCACTTGACATTCTGGTTTGTGCCCAAAATGCAACAATAAGAGCAAACGTTATCAAAATTGGTATAAGTTCCACTCTAGCCCTCAGAGGTTAACCCCAAGTGTGTGTGGCTCAGGCCATACTCCACTACGTTGGTCTAGTGCAGCGGTTCCCAAACTTATTTTGTCTACTGCCCACTTTGAGAATAAATTCTTTTTAGCGCCCCCATTTGTAGTCGAGTGTTGAGTGTTCAGTCGGTGTCTAAGAGTCCTCCTAGTAAATGACGCCTCCCAAGCCTCTACACAACGTCCCGATTTTTTTTTTCTGGCCTTACCGCCCCCCTTTAAGCCTGCAGCGCCCACAAGGGGGCGTTATCGCCCACTTTGGGAAAGACTGGTCTAGTGTGAAAAGGTCAAATTAGTGTAGGTGTAAGGTAAGTTCCCAATCTAGCTGTCAGACTTTGGTGATTGCCAAGCACTGCCACCACTTATCTGCATACTGTTCATTAAAGAAAATTTAATCTCACCTTCCAGTTTTCGCGCAAAGGGCCCAAACGTGCACAGAAAGATGGACCTGGACCAGCGCCCCCGGGGGCCCATCGGCAACAAAGACGACCCTTACTTCGACCCCAACGAAGACCCCAGCTACGGCTTCAAGTTCGAAACCAGGACTTACTCAAAAAACGAGAATGCAGACAGCAGGGGCGATGTCAAAGGTAAGATGTGTTTTTTTAATTACTTAATCACTTCTAGAAACAATGAGCCACGTGTACCTTTATGTATTTTCGTGCCTAGGTATGCAATCGTTTGTTACCTGACCGTACGAGTACGTACTACCCTGGCAAAAATGATGACCATGAAATGACGACCAATAAACACCGTGAGGATTCTGTGGTGTGCTTATTCTTAAACGGCAGACATGGTCGTCAATGATTACTTACCTTAACTTTTAATTTATTCGTAGATGCCAGTAATATAAGTGTTAAATTATTACAAATGCACATAATTATTACCTTTGTCACTTCCACAATCCAATGGTAACTAATTATGTTGAAATCCAGCAAACTGTTTTGGCTGCAGAATGTTAGTTCCGAAGAAATACCTAGGCGTGCTTGAAAAAATAACATGCAACTTAATAGGTGCAGTCACCGTCATCATCAAATAGTTCGTGACACCCGAAGTAGCTAATAAGTTCGCAACACGTCTTTTTTACAATGAGTTATGTATTATGAACTATTTGACGCTGACTGTACATAAAATTAACCAAGTAGTGATTTCAGGGTCACACAACAAGACAATTAATTTTAGGCATATTCCTATAAAGATGCTGATGCAGATATTTACGAATATCTACATCGGCAATTATGAAAGCCATGAATATTTCACAGCGCAATAAAATATTGTGTGACTTGAGAAAAACCATGACAATGGCTCATAAGATCTTATAAACAGGTGGAAATCACTTCGTATCTTAACAAGGTTTGTTTATCTATGTCTCTATTAACCGTCTGTACCAGTCGATGTGACGTCACGGCAGCCAGGTGCGCAGTTAACTCGACCCCTTGTGAAAACATGATTATGCTTCATAAGGCCACAAATCTTTACCTGGCGTAGAAGGTCATGGAGGCGTGTGACTAAAACTGTGCTTTACCACCCTAGTGTTCAATATCACTCAACTAATCCCTTAGATTAATAAAACCTAGATGGATAGTCTTCATACAAACGCTTCGTCAAGAGTGAGGCAAAAATCTTNTAGTGACTCTATTGGACTCTAATCTGTCCAGCGAGTACAACGAGTGCAGTGGCTAATAACTACAACAAAATACATACTAAGGACTGTCAATATTTCAGTACAAGATCCCTATCAATGTAACACGTTTAGCTAGAATATAACTCTAGTAGTGCCTACCTACATAGTCCAGTCAATAAAGCATTATAGATAGAAATCCGTGGAACACACTTTCTGACTTCGGGACTTTATTTAGACTAGTTAGGAGGTGAACATAGCAAAAGTCCCCGCCGGAACAGTTATAAACAGGAGTTGAAGGGATGAACTGCATTATCATCTCTACTTAAATTCAAGCAGATTTAATTTTACCTTATGGTAGAGTCTGTAGGCATGTACGAATATTTACACATTCTCACACCTAGCTACAGGAAGCAATGTATAATAATAATTAGTTAATTACTGACAATACCTGCCCCACAATTATAACCAGCTAAACGCATTCAAATGATCTCTAATTACATTTATAAATACATCTGCGATCTAATCTACAACGATAAGTAAGTGCGAAGTGTTCTTACGCCCGTATTCACAAACGAGACTTGGTTAAGTGAAGCATTAAATCGAACGCACAGCGTTGAATAGAGCTTTGTGATTGGATCGTGTGTCACCCTGTACGTCCACGCGCACTGTGAGACCTCATAGTAATGTTTGTGAACTAATATAAGGGCGTTATAGTCTTATATTAGTACCAAATGAGTTGCTTATCATCTCCAATCGCTCATATTTCTTGGTGTGGCAACTTCCGAGGCACCCCCCATTGAATGTAAAGAAGGGACGGTTGGCTGGGCGTACGTGTACATGATATTGAATTCGTATTGACCCCTTGACCCGTTTGAGGTGTGATCGTATCTTCACAGCAAACGATTTGGATCCGCTTTGTTGAAAGCTTGAAAAAAATTGTTGGGACTTGAGGTCCTACTATAATCAAATAGTCCTAATCTTCTGAGATCAAATTGGGGTCAAATACCTGCCTTGTCTAGCATAAAAAGAAAGATTTACCTTACACTAATACACTACATTACACTGTGGATTACTTTAGATTATTTTGGCTACAGGAGTTGCAGCGGTGGGAACATTATAGTAGTTCCATGTCACTTTAGATAAAAACAAAATATTTTCAGTAACAAAACAAAGCGAAACCACATAATAGTAAATATTAAGGGTGTATTTACATACATCACATATTTTGATCGAAATGTAGAGTTAGAGCGTGTATTTAGATATAAGCACAATTTAAGAGCTTGGCTTTACACGTAATTTGATAACTTTTTTACAGTGCGAGCAATTTTACATGAAAATGCTATTGATGGGATCTTATTTAAGTGCTTACTTATTTTTCTAGCGTAGCTTATTTTTATTCATTTTATTGAATTTGTTTACGCAACAATAGGTACAACTTTCGTATATTTAATCACCTGAAAAAGGAGCAATGTGGTTGCTGATTAATAATTAATTTGTCAACATCATGTACCTCACTAGAATAATCAGGCCATAGGAACTCCGGTACCATATCGACCGATTGTCCGACTTTCGTATCACGCATCTTTGGTAAAACCACCTAATATATCGTGCCACAAACAATGGCAGCCTGGAAGGACACATGCTAATGCACGCCACTGATGCCCAGTATTTCTAGACCTCTGAGAGGTGAAGAGGATGTTGAGAGGATCTTAATAGCGGGGGGTCTGGAGGCGAGGAAGTTTCACATCTCAGTGAGTACAATTCGACACTATAATATGCGATGACCGCACCGGAACGAGCTTCGGTTTGTGTGTGCACATTGTACTACGAGATGTTTTCGAAAATCACTGGATCGATGAGGATCCTTACTTTATAATAGGTACCTTGTAATCCAAATTTTATTACCTAAGTAGAGCATTTAAATTCAGCACGTAGGTCACAAGTATTTTCAGTTTTTACTTTTACTTTAGCATAAAAATTACTGACTTTACACACAAATCCAGAATCATAAAATGTGTATTTGTATAAGAAATAATGTGATAAGAAAAGACATTATATCTTTTACCTATGTGACTAAATAGAGAGTGTAAAAGATAAATTAGTAAAAGCATTATGTATACCTATCATTGTCTCGAACTCATAGAGTTATTTTCATAACAATTTCCATTTGGAAAATTCGTATAGTTAATTGGAATTAGTGCAATTGATTATAGATTCCCCGTACAATGGAAACTCGCATAACTAAAGGTCTCTCGTCAGAATTAGACATTTATTACAGCATTGTGCTGCATCCACAAGGCTCGACGGACAACGGACAAACGGACAAGGAAGTGGAACAAACGCCGGACGCGAAAATTAATTATGTCGATAATGAACAGTATGAACATCTTAATGGATATTGGAGGGGCATTATTCGCGCTCATCAGTGTCTTGTAATTAACGCAACGGTGTAACGAGCTGATGATAAAGCTGCAGTGGAATGAATCTGAATATGGTAAAGTGGTATTTGACCACGAGCGGGATGACTTAGGTGACATTTCAACCTAGAAAATCTGATCCGCGGATGAGTTAATATTATCGTCCTTTCGTTAGGTGTCAAATCTTACGCAAAATATTTATCTTCGGATGAAACGTGACTGTTTCTAACTACAAGGTGGACCGACGACATCGTAAAGGTAGCAGGGAAGCGCTGGACGCAGGCCGCTATCAATCGATCAACATGGAAAGCAATGGGGGAGACTATAGGCCTCCCCCAATGCTTTCCATTGGACATTCCATTCAGCAGTGGACCTCCTATGGCTGAAATGATGATGATGGTGATGAATATATTTCGGATGAGACGACACTCCCAAGTTAGAAAAGGTGACCTTTCATGCGAAGTTTTTCATCATTTTGCGGATGATTCGACAACTCATGCATGGATGAGGTTTTTTCGGATGAAATGTCACCTAAGGCCCGCCCATCTAATCATTTCAGTCCCATGACGTCCATTGCTGAACGTTTAAAGCCTCCCCCAATGATTTCCAGATTGGTCGGTTGATGGTACACATTATTAGGTCTCTAAATAGCAGAGGGAGCTGCTTCTAGTAAAAAAAAATATTATTATGCAGTTGGCCAAGTCTATTATTCGTGTAGCGAAAAATACAATCGAATGAGAGCTCTACATTAGAATAATAGTGTAACACTTACTTATCTATGCCAAGCATATCTACAATAAGGTACATTTTACCTTGTACAATGATTAGATGGGTTCAACCGTATTAGAAATTAAATCCGACCAATACATCCTTATGAAATAATCCCAACTATCCCAACTAATATTATAAATGCGAAAGTAACTCTGTCTGTCTGTCTGTCTGTCTGTCTGTCTGTCTGTCTGTTACGCTTTCCCGCTTAAACCTCGCAACCGATTTTGATGAAATTTGGCATAGAGATAGGTTGAGTCCCGGGAAAGAACATAGGATAGTTTTTATCCCGATTTTTGAAACAGGGACGCGCGCGATAAAATTTTTCTGTGACAGACAAAATTCCACGCGGGCGAAGCCGCGGGCGGAAAGCTAGTAAGTTTATATATTTCCATGAGCTTTAACCCTCATTCGCCAGCAGAAACTGGTATGACAAGCCGAAGACATGGTAAAATGGCGCGTTTAGGGGAGATCTATTTCCAGCAGTTGACCCCTATAGAGGAGGAGGTTGGGAGGCCAGGTTCAGCAGTGGACGTCCGGTGGCTGAAATGATGATGAGACGTATAATGTATACGATGATGACGACCTATAGGCTAATGTAGACGAGGTTTAGAGGTAAAATTCAACCATTTGGTTTATCTAGGTAATTAGTTAATGAAGAAATACGTATGTGTGAAGAACGAATATGAATTTTTTCTTACCTAAAACTGGGTTTACCTAACTAAGTAGGTGTCACGACTAATTACTGTACTTATTTCAAGCTGTTAATACGTCAGATAGA